TCATCATGGTATTTAAAATAATTAATTAAATCCTAAATTTAAAGAAAAATTATACAATTCAAAATTAAAAAGTAACAATGCAAAAAAAATTTTTTTTGATTTTCATTTTTATAAAACAAACTAATTTGATAATTAATCTAAAAATATAAAATTAAATCCTAAATGTAGATGCAACATATTTTTTGTATTTTTCATGAATTAAATAAAATAAACGTGCACAGACAAATGCAAATAATTAACAGAAAATGCCACGAAATCCAACAAAATTGCAAACACTGAAAGAAATTATTTTGTTTTGAATTTTTTGGAATAATTCATATAGGGCAAAAATCACGTGCTCACAGTCTTTCCTTAGCCAATTGAAGAATTTGTGGAAACTATTTGAGAATCGTGAAATGAACCTCGATAGGGCGGTTATTCACGCTATTAATTTCTACACCTGCTTTTTGCTGGTCAGTATCTCCGGTATTGCATCGATGGCCCTAATTCGATCCGGGACCTCGATTCCCCTTTGTGACACCAGGAAACCGAGGAGCTTTCCTGAAGTTACGCAAAAGGCGCACTTTTCGGGGTTCAATTTCATACGGTAATGCCTTAATATCTCGAAGGCTTCCTTCAGATGACCAATGTGATCCTCTTTCTTTGTCGGCTACACTAGCATATCGTCGATGTAAACCTCCATGGTCTTACTAAGTTGTTCTTTGAACATTTTGGTGACTAACCTTTGATACGTGGCCCCTGCGTTCTTGAGCCCGAATGGCATCACCTTATAGCAGTACATTCCTTGATGAGTGATGAAAGTGGTCTTTTCTTGATCTTCTTCAGCCAATAGAATTTGGTTATAACTGGAGTAGGCGTCCAAGAAGCTCAGCAGTTCATGCCCCGCTGTTACATCGATAAGTTGGTCGATGTGAGATAACGGAAAAGAGTCCTTCGGGCATGCTTTATTTAGATCTGTGAAGTCAAGACACATTCGCCTTTTCCCGTTCTTCTTTTTGACCACGACCACATTGGCGACCCACTAGGGGTATTTCGATTCTCTGATGAACCGTTGGTGAGCAATTTATCAACCTCCTCGTTGACCGCCTCATTGATTGCGGCATTGAACTTTCTCCTCATTTGCCATACCGGCAGATAAAGTGGATCGGCGTTCAGCCTGTGTGTGACGATATCCCTTGGGATTCCTGACATATCTGAGTGGGAAAAGCAAACAAATCGACATTGTTAGTTAAAAATTCACGATACTTACCTGGCTCCAAGTGGTTGTGTCCAACATAAGCCTTTTTATGCTATCAGTGTTATCCAATTGGATGGGATCGAGATCTTCTATGGTTGCCTTGCAAGCTTCTACGATGTCTGGGTCTTTGATGGCCTCTACTTGTACGTCGTGTTTAGTTCCCGACATGGCTGATTATTATGCTTCCGCACTTGCCCTTTTTAGTTGTTTGGTATGTGCGCAATCTTGGGCGATCCGGTAGCATTCTTGGGTGGTACGTGGCTCGCCTCAGATGCTGAATATCCCCTATGGGGTGGGAAATTTGACTACTTGATAGAAGCTTGAAGGGACGGCTCGCATGGCCTGTATCCATGGTCGTCCTATTTTGACGTTGTAGATCGTTTCCTGGTTCATGACGTGGAATGTCGTTTCCAGGGTAACCCCTCCTACCAGGACAGGTAGCATTATTTCTCCAGATGTCTGCTCTATTGCATTATCAAAACCTGTTAATGTTATGCAATGCGGTATTATTTTGTCCTCGAGCCTCATTTGCATGAGAACTCGTGGGTGAACAATACATGTGCCGCCTCCGTCATCCACCATTATTCTTTTTACATCAGTATTTGCAATGCGTAATGTTATAACCAAAGCATCATAGTGATGGAAAGACAAACAGTCGGTATCTGACTTATCGAAGATGATACTATCTTCGAGGTCGTCATACTGTTCGTGGGCGACTGTCCGTTTGAGTTTATGTGTGTTGGTGAATTTCACATGGTTGATTACCGTGTCGTCGCCGCCTCCAATGATCATTTGTATGGTAGGAGCGGGTGATTGTGGCTTTGGAGGTCCTTGAGGTTGATTGCGCCCTCGAGCGAAGTTCGCTCGTCCTCTGTCGCTCAGCAGTTCTTTCAGGTATCCCCGATTTAACATTCTTACTAGTTCTTATCGTAGACCTATGCAGTCCTTGGTCTTGTGTCCTCTTTCCTAGTGGAACTCACACAGGACATTTGACCTCCTTGTGCTTGGGTCCGACTTCATCTTTTGTGGACACTGCACCTTCGTGCCGAGCTTCTCTAGTGCGTACACTATTTCTGAGGGGGGAAACACAAAAATTATGAGCAGATAGCAGTTGAGGCATACCTCTTTCGCTTTGGGAGGGTGCAGTATGTTGAGGCGCGGTGTTTGTATATCGTGGAGGTGGAGGATTGGATGTTCGGATGTAAGGTTGGTGTCTTTCTCGATTGAAGCGTAGTAGTTGATCCCTTTGCCCATCATGGCGGCGATCTCTCCTTGTCTCGGTCTGGACTGATGTTAATCGCTGAAGCGGGCCATTCAGGTCATCCTCGTTTGCCCTCACTTTGGCGCAATAAGCATTGTGGATCTCCTCCCACGTGGTAGGGGGTACTTCATGAGTCTATTGAGTAGCTTTTTGGTTACTTTTGACCCGTTTCTGTTTAGCCCATTTTGAAAGGCTGCTACTTCCATCCCTTCTTACACGTTTGGTAGGCTCATCATTACTCTGTTGAATCGGGCTAGGAAATTTCGAAGTCCCTCGCCCGTCGTTTGCCTAACGGCGAAGATATCATTGACCCTAGCTTCGGCCTTTTTCTCTCCCGCGTGCGTGGTAAAGAACTTGTCTGCCATTTCTTCGAACGTGGATATCGACCGTGCTGGTAGTTGGGAATACCACGTCAGCGCTCCCCCTGTCAGAGTTTCGCCGAAATTTTTCAGCAGTACAGACGGCACCTGTTCTTTTGATAAATCGTTACCCTTTACTGCGGTAACGTAATGGATTAGGTGATCTTTCGGGTCCATGGTGCCCTCATATATTTTCAAATATGGCGGCATTTTGAAGGTATTTGGAATGGAATGGGGAGCTGCCCCTTCGCTATACGGTTGCTCGACAAATCGGCCCACATCGCGTTTTGGTAACAGCTTCGGAGCGCCTGGTATTTTATCGACCCTTTCCTGATGTTCCTTCATCTGGTCGCGGAGTGTTTTGTTCTCATTTTCCATCTCTTCCATTTTCTTTAAGATGGCCATAAGTGCATCATCACCTGCATCAGTAACAGTGCGGGTGTTACCTGTTCGTGTAGCGCTTGGCTCATCAGCAGCAGCTGCGATTTCTATGGGTGGCGCGTCTTCGACACCTACCTGAATGGGTTTCTCGACCATGTTGCTCAAGGCACTCATTAACCATTCTTCTAGTAGCCTTTTGACTGCTGGTGGCGCTTCTCCTACTGAGGATGTTGAGGTTCCTCTCTCGCACAAGGTCGTTAGATCCCCGTGCGGAGGAAGTGAAATCTCACCCTCAGGTGTAACATTTGGTGTTGCATTTTCAATGTCTTCTCCACTGGCCTCATTGAGGGAATTCAGGAGGTTATTTGTGACACCCCTTATTGCTTTTAGCCTTGCTTCTCCCTTTCCTGCCATCGTTGGCTTTTATGGAGCTGGAGAAAGGCGATTATTTCTTTCAAGAATCTAGATGAAAACTACGATTTCAGCTATAGAAATCCCCACAGACGGCGCCAAATTGTTTGACTCAAAAGATATTAAACCTTTTTGAACAAATCAATCAAAGATGAAGGGGTAAATCATAGCCGAATAAAATAATTTCTAGAAAGAATAATAGATAAAGAGAAGATGGTCGTTAAGTTTCTTTTCGTTCAAGAATAATAATCTCTCCAAAAATCCCTTTGTTACAAGGTTATTGTCCCCATTTTATACTAAGAGAGAAACTCTTCTAAATTGTAAAAGATAAAATACCAGGAATATTCGACGGAATATTCCTAATGTCCCCTAATGGACTTACACTATTACAAGGGTCGTACAGTTTCTTTTTTGCCTTAAGGTCGTCTCCCTAGGGACTTCAACTCAAAGAGACCCCGTCATTTGCCGTACTCGTCGTTGGTCGTGGACGGTCAAATTCGAACCCATGCACCTATTAAAGTATAACTCGTGTCTCGGTGAAATGCTCGGATGGACCCATCAGAGAATGTACTGTAGAATCTACATGCGCTGCGGGATGAAGTGGATCCTTAACCGAAACCACTAGGGGAGATGTATGGCAAGCCAGATGAGGTGTATCCTTCAATATTTTTAAAAATTTATTAATATGATATTAAGCAATAATAATGTAACAATAACATTTGATTAAAAGTAAAATACTAATATGAGACGAATCGTAATTTAGCCATCTACCACCTTGCACATATCGTTCTAGAAGGGTCTCTATTGTAGCACGTGTGCCTAGAATTTCATGTTGCTGTGAGCTACTCGCGTCAAACTATGCACCAAATTAGACATCTCAATCAAATGAAAGAATATATGATTCTCCGGGAAGTGAGCTAAATAAATGATCGCCTATAACTGAGTAAATTAGTGACTGGATCGATTGAACAGACGGTGGCTATTTGGATCGCAAGTCGGGAAGACTGGGAATTGCTAATGTAGAAGAATCTGTGGTCGGAGCTTGTGGACCACGTGGACTACCTGTTCCTATTGTGTACGACTCACCCTAATCAACTATCATGCTTATGCCCTTAGTATCACCTTAATCTCTCTAATGGGAATCTGCATATACAACCCTGCCTCCACTTTCATCCCGATTACCACGTCCACCATGCTATCCTTCCCATTCTCGTTGGCCCTATAGCTATGTTGCCTACCCTGACCATGCCTGGCACATATACCACGGGCAAGCCGCACCTGTGCGCCGATGATTATCTCTGGCGGTAAATAAACAGGGTCAAACGTCGGCCTCCTATTTTCTTATGCGGCACACATGGTCTCTACAGCAACGTCACAAATTCTTTGACCTTATTGATGTAGTGATGTTGCATCGCTTCCTACCACCTACTGTCACGAACAGATACTATCAATAAATACTATCACGGACAGATCTAAAAATGGCCGAAATATGCTATTTACCATGTCCATAAATACGGCAGGTGCATTTGTCAACTCGAAGGACATGAAAAGGAACTCAAAGTGACCATACTGAGTCCTGAAGGCTCTCTTCGGAATATCTTTCTCCCGAACTCTGACCTGAAGGTACCCCGACCTCAAATCTATCTTTGGAAAGAATCTAGCTCCGTGTAACTGATCAAACAAGTCATCGATCCTCGGAAGTAGATATTTATTCTTCATAGTAACCGTGCTCAGCTACCGATAATCAATAAACATCCTGAGCGAGCCGTCTTTCTTCTGCACAAACAATACTAGTGCACCCCAAGGCCAGGAGCTAGGTTTGATGAAACCTTTCTCTAGTAAATCTTTTAATTGCTCCTTCAACACCTTCAATTCGGCAAGAGCCATTCTATACGGAGGAATGGATATTTGTTGATTTCCCGGAAGCAAATCGATGCTAAATCAATTTCTCGCTTTGGAGAAATACCTGGAAGCTCATCTGAAAACATATTTGTGTACTCTCTAATTATTGGAATAGACTGAAGAGTAGGTATCTCAACATCTGCATCTCTAACTTTCACAATATGATAAATGCACCCTTCTGTGATCATTTTCCTCACCTTCAGATATGAAATAAATCTACCTCTGGGTATCGCTGCAGTACCTACCCAATCTAGGACTGGCTCACCTGGAAAATGAAATCTCACTACCTTTGCTCAGCAATAAACTGTGGCGTAACAAGTTGCTAACCGGTCCATGCCCTTGATAGAATCGAAATACATCATCTATAACTTAATTAGATTGACTAGTCTGAAGACTACAAACCGTCATTGTACAACCTCGATAAATCCGTCTAGCAATAATAGATTTTCCGACCGGTGTAGATACCGCAAAAAGCTCACCTAGTATTTCAGGCACTATACCAAACTTCCCCATAATAAACGGGGTAATATATGATAAAATATATCCTGGATTTATCAAGGCATAAACATCGTGAGAGTAAAATGTCAATATACATGTCACAACATCCGGTGAAGACTCATGATCCCGTCGACCCACTAAACCATACATACGATCTTGATTACCACCTAAACTAGAATCTCTAACTCTGCCTCGACCTCTACAAATCAAAGCTTGAGACCCGAGCCTTGGAGGATGCACAGACATAGATGATCATGTTGTTTAACTTGTCGGTTGTGCCATACCCCTAGAATCTCTACTTGGAAAATCTCGCATCATGTGCCCTGGATTCCCACATATATAACAAGTGTTGGAGCCTGTTCGGTGTTATCCTAGGTGTCCTCTACCACAAATGTCACACTGTGGCAAAAATGACCTTGACTTCCCTGAACCTTAACGTTGCTAGAAACCCGACGCCCGTGAGCTCTCACTTGGTCCTGACTGAGCATAACGATCAAACTTATAACCCTGTGACTGAGTTGGTGAAGGCCTGGGTGGCCATCCGAAGTAATGGGGCCTATAACTACTCTGATACTGCTCCTGATACTTGGCAAATCTCATCCCCTTACATAGCTCTCGCTCACTTCTCTCTGTACCTTGCTACCGATGCCGGCCCTCTTTTATATTCTGGCGAACGACTGGGAGATAAATATAGTATCCGGCAATGCAACTGTGGCTCATGCCTCGGTCAACTCTGGGGCCAACCCAGCTATAAATCTGTGGACCCTATCCCACAGAGCAACAACTATAGATGGAGCATATCTGGGAAATGAGCCGAAATGGAGATTATATTCTAAAATGCTAATATTGCCCTACTTGAGGGCTAGAAACTGATCAACTCGAGCATGTCGTATCTCCCGCGGTAAGTAATGGTCAAGGAAGGCATTTGAAAAATTCTCCCAAATAGCTGGAGGTGCATCACGTCCCCTAGACCTCTCTTATATCCCTTGTACCAAAGGACGCTATACCTCGGAATCAAAATGCTACCATCTCAACTGGCTCTTTCTTCGTGGCATGCATAACCCAAAAGATCATGTGGAGTTGGTCTATGAAATCCTGCA